TGCGCTGCGCCGCCAGAGCACGATTTCTGTTCTTATCCTGAAGCAAAGTTCTTAACCTGAAGCACTATTTCTGGGTTAGCAGAGTCTGTAACCTGAAGCGTATGTAACCTGAAGCGTATGTAACCTGAGGTACCACTGTATATTTTTAAAAATATGAGCCTTATAACTTTCAGATGCAGACCACTGCAACAAGTGCCCTGAGGACCAGTATCCAAATGAAAACCACAACGAGTGCATCCCTAAACATCCAGTCTTTCTAACATACAGAGAGCCCTTGGGAATACTTCTGACTTCATTTGCTCTTTTCATTTGTCTGATCACCCTCTTGATAATATGCATCTTCATTCAACACAAGGAGACTCCCATTGTCAAGGCCAACAACTGGAACATCACCTGCACTCTCCTCACTTCCCTGTTGCTTTGCTTTCTCTGCTCCTTCCTATTCATTGGGCAGCCTGGGAAGGTGTCCTGCCTTCTCCGTCAAACAGTGTTTGGGATGGTCTTCTGTCTTGCTGTTTCTTGCGTGTTGGCTAAAACCATCACTGTGGTTCTTGGCCTTCATGGCCACCAAGCCAGGAAACAGGATGAGGAAATGGGTGGGGAAGAGGCTGGCAGTGTCAGTCATCATCCTTTGCACTCTTATTCAAACTGGCATCTGTGCGCTGTGGTTGGCAACCTTTCCTCCCTTCCCAGAGTTTGACATGCACTCTCAGACTGACCAGATCATTGTGCAATGTAATGAAGGATCAGCTCAGATGTTTTACACTGTCCTGGGCTATATGGGGCTCCTGGCCATCATCAGCTTCACTGTGGCTTTCTTGGCCCGGAAGTTGCCTGATACTTTTAATGAAGCCAAAATGATCACTTTCAGCATGCTGGTCTTCTGCAGTGTTTGGTTATCCTTTGTCCCCACCTACCTTAGCACCAAGGGGAAATACATGGTGGCTGTGGAGATTTTCTCTATCCTAGCCTCTAGTGCTGGATTATTGGTTTGCATCTTCCTCCCCAAATTCTACATTATTGTACTGAAACCTGAACTGAACACCAGGGATCAATTAGTAAGGAAAAAGAATGGTCATTTCTGAGTGATTTCTTCCTTCCTTCCTCTAAATTGTTTCTTAACCATTCCCCTCGTATCTTTTCCTGTTTATGAGTCTAAGCCCACAAACATTGCCTTTTCTTCTTTTATGTTTGCCAAGTACAAAGCAAGATGCAAAATGTCCAAGTAGTTTGGCTTTGTAGTACTCTGGTTTCCCAGTAGCTTGTTTATAATTTTTAGAGAACATGCTGCAGAAAGTAGGATTATTTTCAAATAATAAAAAAGAAAATATTTTTTAAACATTCTCTTCATAATAACACTAAAACATAAATACCAGCATGGAAATAAACTATGCAGCAACATATTAGTGGAAATAACACAAAAATGTTTTTATAAAGTAGAATAGCTTGCAGAAATGTTTTATGTTATAAGAAATGCACAGAAAAATATGCATGAAGTTTGGATTTGAAAATGAAAGGAGGAAAATTGTCCCATTCATCCATTCTTCTTTTTAAAGGATTTTATTAAAACACATTTATTCCAAAGTTGCAACACAACTTTTTCCACTGTCATTCCTTCAATCCTCAATCCCTCATCACTGACATGTTGGCTCGCCAAATACTCTCAATAGGAGCCGAACCACCACAGGGAAATATATGGTGAATGTGGATATTTCTTATATCCACATGGCCTCTAGTGCTGGGTTGCTGAGTTGCATCCTCCTTCCCAAATTCTACATTAATGGTGCTGAGACCTGAGCTGAACACCAGGGAAAAGAGTGTGATATCTGAGTGACTTCCTCCTTTGTTCTTGTAAATTCTTCCTTACCTGTTTCCCATGATGCATTGTCTCTTTTAGAATCAAATGCTACAGATAGTGCCATGTCAACATTTATATTTGTAATGTACTTAGCACATTAGTTTGGCTGTGTATTCTCTTCTCTTACCTCATAGTTTATTTATACCCCAGTTTTTCAGATGTGCTCTGTAAAGTATATATCCTAAATATAAATAAAATATGAATGACTTATTTTTACATATTTATTTAACGAAGAACATATAATTCAATGACATTTGAAAATAAATGAAGAAAAACATTACAGTTAAATGAAGATTAAAATTAAACACACGCATGAGATTAAAAACTGGAATAGATTTTAGTGTTTGTGTGTGTGTGTGTGTGTGTGTGTGTGTGTTAGAGTGGGGCATTTGTGGCGTTGCAGTGTGAGTTGAGATACAAGAAGATTGCAGTGGGCGGGGCATGACTGTAGAATATGTTTCCTCATGGCAGTTTCCCTGGTTTCCAAATGTACCCGTGGGCCCAAAATATTTGCGAGCCCTCATGTAACCATGCCCTACAGAGTGATCTTTCATAACTTAAAGACTAGCCACTGCAAATTTCATCCAGGAGGTGACTCCTTCTAGAACTCCTTTTCTGTAGACTTAATGGGACAGGAAACAGTAGCCTTTCAAGAACATCAATCAATGAAGGTGTGTGCTCTGCAACAAGCCCAAAGAGAGTACATCAACAGTTTTCACCAAAATTTGAAAGAAATATGGGGTATACTTTCTTAAAAACTGGAATAAAGAGATGGTTTTCAATGCTATGAAGGCCCTCATGGGATTACCTCAGGCAGAGTGGCCATGACTGCCCATTTAAGAAGGCTACAATCTGCCTCTTCAGGGGCCAGGGCTGCAATTTAGTAATCCCAGCCAAAAAATGGTTGGGGCAGGGAACAGCTGGTATCACCTGAGAGTAATGAAGAATTCTTGGAGCTACTAGGCTTAAATAGTTCAGAGGCAGCATTCAAGGGAGATTGGCTTTTAGGGGAAAGTGCAGAGGTTTGAGGGATAACCAACTCTTGCCTCATCTAAAGTTTATTGTTTTCCAGCAGTAGTAGACAGGAAGCCCTACCAAGAGGCTTCCGTTAGTACCTCAACCTTCTGGAGAGAGGAATTGATGGGGCTGATTCACTGGATGTGACCATAAGGGGTGAGAAAGACTAAACTTGTTATGACTCAAACCCCATAGCCTTGAAAAAGGGATAGGAGGGGTTCTGGCCTCCGAGAGACCTACAAGTGCATTGTGACCAGACTAAACTCTGGGCAGGGGTGGGTCTATAGCTTGCACTGAAGAAGGTAAGATAGAAGTCAATCAAAAGGCCAGGACATTTTTATGTTGTGTGTGCATTTGGAACTTTACTATCTGGGGAAGGTGGTATGAGGTTGTAAGCCAGGGCCATTGCTTCAGCAGAACGAGTGAATTCTTGTGGTCAACTGAGTTTCAGGTTTGAGAATATTTCCTCCATCCCATGAAAAATGAAGCCTTCAATATGCTATTCTCCCAGGACAGGCAGAAGCACTATTTAACTTGCTTTGGCAATTATCATTTGATTGGTTTAGAATTTGGCAGTTTCATAGGTCTCTTCAGGTACTGTACATCGTATATGCCAACTTTCAGCCTATACTTTTATAAGCTGTATAAATTTTAGATATATAATGATCGTTGTCTTGTCAAGTTTGTTCATTTACACCTTAGCTATAGCTTTCACACAGTGTGCTGTGACTGGGGCTGCAAAGAAGTTTTTATTAACTTTGCTGAGAGTTGATTACCGTATTTTGGAGAAAGTGGTGATTATCTTGGTGATTATCCTGTAATCACCGTAATCACTATCCTCATGTAATTGTAGTGATATTTCAAGCTATCAGAAAAACAGAAACAGATGATCCATGTGCTGAAATTGTCCTCTCCATCTATAAAGAGGAGTTTCAGAAAAATATATTTTACACAGTTCTTTGGAAGGGTCCTGTTGAACAGATTTTTGACACTCCAGATTGGAATCAGTGAAACACCTATGTAAATTTAACTCCTGGGAGGGTTGACTGTTGTTTGGGAGTTCTATGTGGTTTAGGAATTCTGTGTATCTGTTAAAATGAATGTTTTGAACTGGGGAAGAGATCTGTCGGTAGCCAATGGGACATCATTGCTGCTGCTTCTTTTGTTGCTGGAGCTGCCTCAGATTGTCAGCAAGAACGCAAAGAACAGATTTGGTTGGCAGCCAAATGTTAAAAATGACTTTGTAATTCCAGACAGTATTTTCATTGGTGAATTTGTTTCTTTTTTAATTCATTCTTTTGATGGAATCTCATATAATACATCTCCATCTCTGGAAAAGTCTTCCTAGTACGTGAAGCTTTTATGATTCAAAGTAGTCCAATTTAATAAAAGCCTAGCTTCTGCAACACGGGGCTTTCCTTTGTTGTTGCTTTTATTCCCTGCATGGAACTCCAATATTAACATCCTTGAAAATAAGGCAGTTCAAAACATACAACCTGGGGGGAGATGACCAGCTGATGGAAAATGCTTAATTTTTTTAAAAAAGGAATGTTAAGGAGACAGCTAGACCACAGTTCTTCTGATTGATGTGCTGGCTGAGGGATTTTCCTCAATCAGGTAAAGATTCACCTGTAATCTGAAACTATAAAGCCCAGACAATGGTTTACCATCTCTGTTTAGAATGGAAGAAACCTAAAAATGGATAGCCTGAACTTCTTTAGCAGCAGAAAGTGGGGCAAAGTATGTGAGTCTTTATCCATTCACTTGTTTAAAAATAGGTTGATTCATACGTACATATTTAGGGAGAGATTGAGTTGGTATCGGAGAAGCACAAGTAATAAAACAGTCCTCAAAGAGCAAATTGCTTTATTTAGATAACAGAAGCTTTGTAGGAAGTGAAATATGACAAAGAAACATAATGAGCCAACAATCTTTAAAAAGCTATGTAGATATTTCCTTCTCCTTAACTCCATGCCTAGTGTTTCAAGAATAGCTTATAAGCTGGTATAGGTCTACTGCATGTATATTAAATCAATGTACTTTTGACTACTGTATACTGGCATTTAAATGTCATTGCAGTCCATTGCCAAATTACTACCACCAAGTCCTTGCCTTTACATTTGCCATGAATGAGATCAACAAGAATGCCCACCTCTTACCCAACACAACACTGTCTTCCATCTTCGCTAACAATGCTGACAATGAAATAGGATCCTGTACTGGGACTATGTACCTCCTTTTCAAAAGATGGAGCAGCCCCCTTAACTACATCTGTGTCAAGGCATACAGGCTAATGGCCATCATTGGTGGGCTTGCGTCTCTTAACTCCAAGGAAATGCCCCACATCTTAAATATCTACAAGATGCCACAGGTGGGTCTGTCAAGTTGGAACCTAGGTGCTGCATATTGATTCTAGAAGAGAAAAGACTAGTAGGCCTCACCATTAAGCCAAGAGAGTTAAGTATATTAGGATGGGATGAGTGCTAGTGAAGCGCCAAAGGGCAGTCTTGGGTGAAGGGCAATAGAACTATCTTCTATTGCTGACAAACTGGGGAGGATTTTTGGTCTGGTATTTGGGGGACTGGCATGTGCTCCCAGCTGAGTGCTGGTTTTGGGTATATGGGTGTGCAACTTAAGACTCATATGGAGCTTGATACCCACCAATTACCTATGGAGATTTGCCTCCCATCACATTCTTGATTGTGATGGAGCTGTGTTAGGCTGGGTTTGCCCAGGGTCAGAGACAGGAGGCCTTTCCTCAGTTTCTCTGACCAAACTATAACCTTTTTGCACCATTTCATGTGCATCATCAAGTTTCATTGAATAGATGTAACCTATGCCAGCGTATGGTCTCTTGAGTCTTCATCTGGGGAATGTGGGCAATAAATAGTCAGGTTTGTTTCATTTTTTTTCAAGAAGTCAAGATCATGAAGCTATTTTTGCTTGACCTTCCCCCACCCCTGAAGATGGGAAATTTGTCATTGAAAGGTGCACAGTATAAAAGTGTACAGCAGTACCTTGGTTTTCGAGCGTCTCAGAAGCCGAACGTTTCGTTTTTTGAATGCCAAAAACCCAGAAGTAATTGCTTCTGTTTTTGAACACGCCTCGGAAGTAGAACGGCTTCTGCTGCATTTAAAAAAAAAATTCTTAATTGAAATTGCAGGCTGCCCTTTGAACTTTGGTTTTCAAACATTTCGGAAGCTGAACGGTCTTCCGGAACAGATTATGTTCGAAAACCAAGGTACCACTGTATATGTAAAATTGTGTGCCATTGTTTTCTTACTCGAACCTGCAGTCATTCATTCTCTCACACGTTATTAACTCATTTCTGCATCTGCACTCCAAATCAATAGTAGTATTATGGGCACAAAATATGGAAGCTCATCCTTTTCCTCCATTAATTCTTACAACCCCCAAATCCCCGCACAGTCCCCCCTTTTTAAAGAAGTTTATGCCTCTGATTCATGTCGTTGCTTTTTTACCTACCAGTAATCCTCCTCAGAGCTTTGTAGTGGAGAGTTTATAACCTTTGCAGTATTTGAAATGAATGTAATCTTCTATCCTGCCATTGTTGTTAGGCCTAAAAAGATCGTGGTCATTCTCCTTAGCTCTCTTATGGCTCCTTTGACCCTGCACTGAGCGATAAAACACAGTTCCCTTCTGTCTATCGAATGATGCCAAATGAAATTCCTCAGTATGCTGGGATTGTTCACTTGCTTCAGTATTTTGGATGGACCTGGATTGGCCTTATTGTTTCAGATGATGACAGTGGAGAATCGCTGTTGAGGACTCTGACTCCTCAACTGCTGCTGAACAATATTTGTATTGCTTATAAGGAAATTATTTCAACACGGAAGATGCTCTGGGGCGGAAGAATGCAAATGCTGGAAATGGTGGAAAGAATAGGCAATATTCTAGAAACAATGGACGCCAATGTGATTGTTGTTCATGGGGGTTCACGATCTATGGCGTTCTTACGAATGACACTCTATTCACATGAAAAAGTTGAAATGAAACCAAAAGAGAAGGTTTGGATTATAATGGCACAGTGGGATTTTGTATCTGTGTATCCCAGAGAGATATTCCCACTAAAATCCTTCAATGGCACCTTATCCTTTTCACTCCATGCTAATGATGTGCCAGAATATGAAGATTTTGTTGAGACTTTAAATCCTAATGAATCCACACTTTATTACATATATTGGTTCTGGGCCTATGCATTTCGGTGCTCCTTCCCCATATTTAAACTTTATGCACACACTGCAAACTGTACAGGAAAGGAGAGGTTGAGGAGTCTCCCTGGAGCTGTGTTTGAAATGGGGATGTCTGGTCAGAGCTACAGTATCTACAATGCGGTTTATGCTGTAGCACATGCTCTCCATGCCATGTTTTCTTCAAGAGCTAAGAAGAAGGCAAAGGGAGTTGGTGCCACATGGAACCTTTTGAATATTTATCCATGGCAGGTAGGATTCTCATGTCCATCCTTACTGTAATCCTTGGAAAGAAATGCATTTCATTGGCTGGATTCCCGTTCCAGTTCTTTATTTCTGTGCAGAAATTTATTGAATTTCTTAGGGGTCAGATTTTGTTTATACAGCTCACCTTGAATTACCATTTTACATTAGGGTGGGCTTTTTCTTGCAAGAGTTTTGAACGTTGCCTAACATGGGGCTTGAAACCACAACTCTGAGATTAGCAGTCTCAGGGCTATCTCTGAGGAATGAATCTTGTGAGTAACTGAGCTTCTCTACCACTGTTTAGAACCATGAACCATGGCCTTTGCTCTCATACTCTTCCTACTGTTTGTTGTTCTTATTCCTTTGCCTTATAAGAACACCTGGACTAGCCGCTGAGTTTGTATCTTTAGAATACTATAATAAAAGTTCATTTCTTTACTAACAAGTAAATACCCCTGTGGTTTGGTCTTGGGCAGGAGCCAGAAAAATGATCCAGAATGCCTTGCGAGTCAAACCTTTTGGCTCCCGAACAATCGAAAACTGGAAGTGAGTGTTCCAGTTTGCGAATGTTCTTTGGAACCTGAATGTCCGACGTGGCTTCTGCAGCTTCCTGCAGCCAATCAGAAGCTGTGCCTTGGTTTCCAAACATTTTGGAAGTCGAACGGACTTCCGGAATGGATTCCGTTCAACTTCCGAGGTACCACTGCATTAGAGAGGAGAAAAGAGTTGCACTTCAATGGCACAAGAGAAGAAATTTCAGGGAAGCCACACCCTGAATTTCCCACCATGTGCCTCGCCTCGATTCATGTCCTTTCATTTTCCGATCTAGCTTCACTTCTTTCTAAAACACATCCGTTTTAACAATAATGCTGGGGAAGAAATATTTTTTGATGCAAATGGAGAATTGGCAACTGGATATGATGTCATTAACACCATCACATTCCCCAATGAGTCCATCCATAAAGTCCGTGTGGGAAGGCTGAACCCACAGGCTACTGAAGGAAAACAATTTACCATCAATGGAAGTGCTGTTGTGTGGCATCACAAGTTTAAGCAGGTGGGAATAGCAATTACCTTCCTCAGTATAGGTTTAGGGATGGGCTGAAGACCAAATTCTTTCTGGTTCAGGTTTCACATATGTGTAAAACAAAACATGCCCTGTTCTGATACCATTCAAATATTTTAGGGGAAATCTGCCTGGGTCCTAATGAATGCACAAAATTTTGTTAAGAGGTATTTTAAAAAATATATACAAAAAATGAAACAAATATGAGGTAGTCTGAGGGCCTTCTATTATTTGATTTTGAAAAGATGCTTATAAGTTACCAGGTAGCACACTGAGCTTCTGCTGCCATGGGCTGTGGAAACAAGCAAGAAGCTCTCATAAACTAAAAGTATCTAAAGAGCAGAGCTCAAATGACCTTTTTTAATATGCGGTATGGTTTTATTTATTATATGATTATTGAGGCACATGCTCACTCATCAGTATGCGCAAATGTCTGGCTCATTTAAGACTATACAGAATCATTATTCTAAATAGTGATGGAATTCACAGGTGAAGAATAAAAAAAAATCTTATTTCTAAAGGGAATCTTTGTATGAGTGAGTACTTTATAATCCCTTTTCATCTTTGTACTTATGTCCTTCCAGGCTGTAATGCTTTTAGTTATTTTTGATTTCTTTTTTTCTTTTTTCTTTTTGTTGACTTTGCATTTTAACAAATCAATGAAGTAAGATAGAAACTGGAATGTTATTGAGTGTACTTGAAGATTCTAGGAAATGAGTCAGGGACTAGTGATTATGGATGGAATTCATTATAGAAACTAAGTGGTCTGTGTTAGAATTCCTGATCCATGATTGCAGTCATGGGATTGTTGTCTATCACATGACGGTGTATGTTTTAACTCCACAGAGTAGGAAGTGACGGAGACAGGATGTTTGTGTTACTGTGTTCTGTGAAGTGGGACTATTGTCCTTTGTTCCTTTACTCTTTGCTGTCTGATACTAGAGAGGGGGAGCCATGTTGCAGTGCTCCGTGTGTGTTTATATGTAAATAGATTAGCCAAAATGCTGAGTTGCTGAGGTCTGTCACGCAAGTTGCGCAAACTCTCCGGATCCCTAAGTGTGCCGGTGTCGGTTGGCATAGGTCGCTGTGATGTTTGGGCTGAAGAAAGCTTATGAAGCTCCTGAACGATTGACCAGGAGGGAGGGAACATGCCAGTCGGGCATGTGTCTCTGCCAGAGTCCTACTCAAGTATAGGCTGAACTCCTGACAGTCTGCACCAAAGGGGGGGCAACAGGAGCAAGCTCATGGGCCAGTCTCCTTTCGTTTGCAGGCCACTCTGTGCAGTTGGCCAGGTTGCCCACCTGTCAATCACTGATACCGCGATGACAACAGGTGAACCATTTTTCTTTTGCAGCACTTCTTAAACTGAAGCCATGCTGCAAGCAAAGAACCAAAAAGATTGAAGCCCCATGTGAACTAACTACTGTCTGCAGTTCCTGATGCTCCAGAGTTTAGCAAGATCAGTTGGGCTTGAAATCAAAGCCCATCAGCTGATCATCAGTGATTTCAAGCCCCCATTTCAGCAGGGATCAGCTCCTTGGAGCTTCTGTGTGGAACCAAACGTTCACTGGGCACCAAATTTATCAGTTACTAAATGCATGCCCTGCACAGAGATGAGGGAGAAATTCAATTCAGCTCACGTTTATAGGTGACCTATTTTGTAGCAGTACAGGCAGTAAAATATATTTTTTGTATTTTTTCTCTCTCTATCTGTCTCCACTGTGTCGGTAAGGGATGTTTCCAGTTGTCAGGGGTCTTTAACACTCTGGTCCATGTATGGAGAATTTTCACCACTCGGTGGCCCACTGGGAACAATTTCCTCAGCACTGTGCTGACAAACTCACTCAGATCCATTCTGACTTGGACACTTTAGTTGACACAGCTTCAGTGGATGTAGCTGGCCTCTGCTTGTCCAGTGTTAAGTTGTTCAGGTTTTCAACTTGGAAATGTGAGAGCCACCACATTCTTGCCCTTCCTGGCTCATCAAAAAGGCTAGCGGGGGACTGGCTGGGTGGCCAATACCTCCTGACAACAAGGCAGGGCTCCCATATCCTTAAAAGAAGCAGTTACAAGACCTCTACTGAAAAAGCTCTCCTTGAATCTCACTGTATTGGGTAATATCAACCCGTTTCAAATATCTCATTATGGAGCATGTGGTATCATCTCAGATTCTGGTGGAGACAGATTATCTAGATCCATTTCAATCTGGTTTCAGGCCTGGTTATGGGACAGAGATGGCTTTGGTTACCTTGGTGGATGATTTATCCTGGGATTTGGACAGGGGGAGTGTGTCCCTGTTGGTTTGGTAGGACCTCTCGGTGGCTTTCCATACCACCAGCCTTGGTATCCTTCATGGTCATCTTCCTGGGATGGGACTTGGAGTTTTACGTCTATCAATGTTTATTTGCTTTTTAATGGTTTTCCTATGTTTTTAGCTGTTCTTTTTATAGGTAAGCCATCTCAAGTCTCATCAGGGGAAAGATAGGGTGTAAATATATGATGATAATGATACTGTGAAAATTAGGCCCACAGGCCAGAAGTTCCCAACTAGTGGTCGTTGCTCTAAATTCTTTGTTTCTTAGATCCAACCCCAATCCAGATGTGTTGAAAGTTGCCGTCTTGGACACAGCAAGATCGTGAGACAGGGAGAACAGATTTGTTGTTATGATTGTGCTCAGTGCTCAGAAGGAATGGTTTCAAACCTGGAGGGTAAGTAAAGATTTCAGAATTGCATGCAGATGAAAGTCCAGATGTTGGTAAAACAAATTTGCTCAAAATGCTGGTTTGCATGTGCATGTTCATCACTTAATATGCGAACATAATTTTAAGACTCTCTAAATGGACCATTTAAGATATAAGAACTTATGATGATGAAATAATAATAATGATGATGATGTGCTTTTGTATCTCTTCACTTGTAACTCTTCACAGCTTTTTTCCACACATTAAGCTATTTATATTTAACTATTTCATGAGGTAACTTCTCATGAAACCTCCTGAATTTAACAGAAAAAATATTTGCAATAAAGGCATGCAACTGTTTTTTTTTGGGGGGGGGGAATCAAAGAGTTGTAAGTTAAGTCAGAATGATCGAAATTGGGAATTTTTAAAATGTTTTATGGTTCTTTTTCCTTTTAAGAATCAAGAATTGAATTAACCAATATAAAATCTTAGTTAAGAAAGTACATGTACTTCTTTTTACTATTAAACCTTAAAACTTTCAGATGCAGACCACTGCAACAAGTGCCCTGAGGACCAGCATCCAAACAAGAACCACGACCACTGCATTCCTAAGCATATTGTCTATTTGGCTTATGGAGAATCCTTGGGAATAATTCTGGCTTCATTTGCTCTGTTCCTTTCTCTGATCACACTAGTGGTGATGTGGATCTTCATTCAAAACCAGGAGACTCCCATCGTCAAGGCCAACAACTGGAACATCACCTGCACCCTCCTCATTTCCCTCTTGCTTTGCTTTCTCTGCTCCTTCCTATTCATTGGGCAGCCTGGGAAGGTGGCCTGCCTTCTCCGTCAAACAGTGTTTGGGATTGTCTTCTCCCTGGCAGTTTCTTGTGTGCTGGCAAAAACCATCACTGTGGTTCTGGCCTTCATGGCCACCAAACCAGGAAACAGGATGAGGAAATGGGTGGGGAAGAGAATGGCAGTGTCAGTCATCATCCTCTTTACTCTTATTCAACTTGGCATCTGTGCACTGTGGTTGGCTACCTCTCCTCCCTTCCCAGAGTTTGACATGCATTCACAGACTACCCAAATCATTGTGCAGTGCAATGAAGGATCAGCCACCATGTTTTATACTGTCCTGGGCTACATGGGTCTTCTGGCCATCATCAGCTTCACTGTGGCTTACTTGGCCAGGAAGTTGCCTGATACTTTCAATGAAGCCAAGCTGATTACCTTCAGCATGCTGGTCTTCTGCAGTGTTTGGCTGTCCTTTGTCCCCACCTACTTGAGCACCAAAGGAAAATATATGGTGGCTGTGGAGATCTTCTCTATCTTGACTTCTAGCTCTGGGTTGCTGGGTTGCATCTTCTTCCCCAAATTCTATATTATTGTTCTGAGGCCTGAGCTGAACACCAGGGATCAGCTTGTGAGGAAACAATATTATGCTACCTGACTGATAATTCCAGTTTTCTTCATTTTCATGTGATGGTTATTTTTGAAGCACTTTGTGAAGTGTTAAATTTTCCCCTTTCCCCTTTTACTTTGTTGCCTCATCTGCTTCTACTTAGCATCTAAAGTGTATGTGGGGATGGGGAAGACAAATTTGATCATGCTGTTTGAGAACTACTGTTTCTGATTCATAAGAAGCACACCTTTGCCTTTCTTATACATCCTAGGACATCCATATTAATAATCTGCAAACTTTCCTGGGCTTGATTAACAGTTGGATTCAGCTAATTGAGAAAGCAAAAGAACTTGTTTCTTTCATAGACCAAATCACATAGAAGATATATTCCATGTTTCACAATACTAGACCAATAGTTTTTTTAAGTTATAGAAATTTTATGCTTCTTATTACAGAATCTGGGTTTTATTACTCTACTTAGCTATAGGAGCATTCCTACCCTACTAAAAACCTAGCCTGCCCTCAGTTTCAGCACTGAACATTTCATTAGCAGACATGAATATGAGGAAGTGAAAGATGTTTTTCTTAACTTTGCTGAGAGGTGAGAATCTTGGAAAAGGTACTTACCTACCCTATAATTATCATAATCACAGTCCTCATGTAATTGTAGTGTGATCCCAAAACAATCAGAAAGAGAACAATAGATGTATCCACCTTAAATATTGGTGGAATGCTACTCCACATCTATAAAGCTGAGTCTAAAAACAACTTTTCACCCACAGCTCTTTGAAGCATTCTGTCAAATATGTTTGAAAATTAACTCTGATGAGGCTTTGAAGCATTCTTCTCCCTTGCCGCCCACCAAATACTCATGTTCTGTTTTTCTGTCACAATGAATATGACCAGCTGGGGGCAAGATTTTCTGGTAGCCAGATGGACCTCATTCCTGCTGCTCATTTTGCTGATGCACCTGCCTCAGGTTGTCAACAAGAATGTGCACAATGCAATGGGGCAGCAGCCAAAGCTTCGAAATGGGTTCAGCATCCCAGAGAATATTGTCATTGGTGAATTTGCTTCATTTCTAATTCATAGCCTTGAGGAGATTCCATTTAATACGACTCCAGATAAGGAAGTACATTCCGCGTAAGTAAGACATCCAACTAAATAGCATAGTGTGAACATGGAATCAGAAGAGAATCGATGAAAAGAAGTCCTTATTGTGAAAGAACTATTGCTCTCAACCGGTAAAAATGATTCTAAATGTTCTTGTGGAAATCCAAACCCTTAATACAATTCTTTATCCAGAAAGGATGTGTGATAGATAGATAGATTGATAGATGATAGATAGATAGATAGATAGATAGATAGATAGATAGATAGATAACAAACCCTATAGAAAGGACAGTGAAGGACCTACTAGAGATATTGTCACACTGTGAAAGAGGACAAAGCACAACAATTTAGAAGTCCCAAAAGGGGCAGACTCCTCCACAGAATTTTTGGGAATAGTGATATTGGACCCCAAATGTAATTTAGTACAATGAACATGCTATCACCCCTTTTTCCTTTACATTTACATACATAATCTACTTATTCTATACATGTTCATATCCTCTGAATAATAATTAACTTCCCCCTACCTCTTAACAGCTTCTCTCTTTATTTCATTTTCTTTTGTACTGTGTTCTAGTATACTTTCGACCTTCTATTTATATAGGATATCTTCTCTAATTGTCTTTTATTTTGTGAAATTTACTCTGGACACATCCAAGTTTTGATTTGGGAACCATGTTTACACATATAATTTTTAAAATAATCCCATTCTTTTTTAACCCTCAAGTTTGAGTGATTTCTTATTGCTTCTGTCATTTTGGCTAGCTCAACATATTCACACAATTTCATGTGTCACTCTTCCATAGTTGGTATCAAATCCCCTTTCCAGCATTTGGCAATTAATACTCTAGCCACAGTTGTTGCGTATAAAAATACTCTTTTGCTTCTCTTGGGATGTTTATTGTCATAATGCCCAGTAAAAAGGTCTCTGAGCTCTTAGAGAATGTTTGTCTGAGCATTTTCTTTAATTCTTCATACACCATGTCCCAGAATTTTTTAATCTGGGGACAGGTCCACCACATATGAAATAGGATTCCTTCCCCCTGCTTACATGTACATGGTGTTGCTTTTATATATTTTAGCAAATTTACTAGGAGTCAAGTACCACCTATAAATCATTTTCATAAAATTTTCCTTTATCAGATAACACACGGTAAATTTTAAATCTATTTTTCATAATTTCCCCCAGTCTTTCATTAAAACAGGATATCGCTTCTCGGCCTTTTGGCTAAGATCAAGTGTAGAAAATAAAAGTCTTGTCCAAATGAGAATGAACAAGAACACAATTTTTGACAAAAGAAATGCAATAACGCTGCAGACATTCTTCAAAAGAATTTGAAGAGCACATTTCATTAAATACATTATTTGGAAGACACTGGCTACAGTGGGTGAATGATCCATTGCATAACAAGTTAGTCAATAGTATGCAAAAGCAGCAATAAGCAGCTGAATGAATTATTTGCATCTTTCTTCCCAGTAGAATATCTAGGGCACAGGGGGCACCGGCTCCTAGGGACTGAGCCCTTTTGTGTCCCCCTATATTTTGGGGGTAAGGGCCAAGGCCCTGCTATGCCCCCAAAGCACAGCGTGCCTCCAGCAGCCAGCTCCTTCTCTTCCCCCTCCTATCACAGAAGTGAGGAATGATTGAAGCAGTCTTCTTCCAGTGGCCCCACCCAGAGGAGAAATGAGCCACATGGCCACCACATTGGGGGTCTGTCCCCAGATCCTCCCGATATCCTCACATCACAAACATGGCATTGGCCCTGCCCCAATTGCCTTCACAAACTGTTGCCTCTGATAGGGCAGATGTTGATTCCTGAACTAACTTTTGCAGGGAGTCTGGGAAGCCAAGGCAAGTGAAAGATGGTATTCTAGGCCTTGTTGACAAAATTCGTGGAGAATAAGATTATTGATGGCTACTAGATACGACGCCTACATTCTACCTCTGTTGTAGGGCAAATCTGCTGTCTCACTAGTGCAATTAACTACTTGTGAGTTGGTTGGAAGAAAGAGTCCAAAAATTATTTACTACAGTAAATAGGTTCAGCACTGTCACTTCCACAAAGGCTGAACAGTTTGTGTGTGTGTGTGTGTGTGTTACCCCCCTGAACTTTTTATAGGGTTTACAGGCATTCATATAAAATCCAATCAAAATGCTGCAGACATTTGCAGAGGGTAGCTGGCAGAACACTCATTGGATACAACTCTCTGAGGGGTCCAGTCTGCACCTTGACGTGGCAGCTCCTTGAGGGCCCCTCGCTTTGCTGCTGCTTCTTACTAAAGTTCTGAAGCCTACATACTAAAAGGAGAATTGTAGTCTGATTTATGCTTACATAGGCAACGAGCCTAGGGACGCAGGTGGCGCTGTGGGTTAAACCACAGAGCCTAGGACTTGCTGATCAGAAGTTCAGCGGTTCAAATCCCCGCGACGGGGTGAGCTTCCGTTGCTCGGTCCCTGCTCCTGTCAACCTAGCAGTTTGAAAGCACAAAGTACAAGTAGATAAATAGGTACCGCTCCGGCGGGAAGGTAAACAGTGTTTCCATGCACTGCTCTGGTTCACCAGAGGCAACTTAGTCATGCTGGCCACATGACCACGCCAGCTCCCTTGGCCAGTAAAGTGAGATGAGCACCGCAACCCCAGAGTCATCCACGACTGGACCTAATGGTCAGGTGTCCCTTTACCTTTAGGGCTGCCATACATCTGGGGCACAACAACTTTTGTGTCTGGATTTTCACTCTTTGAAATATGGCAACCCTAACTTATAGAGATAATTTCCACAGAACAACCCTGTGCCTGGTACAGTGGTACCTCAGGTTACATACGCTTCAGGTTACAGACTCCGCTAACCCAGAAATAGTACCTCGGGTTAAGAATTTTGCTTCAGGATGAGAACAGAAATCGTGCTCCGGCGGCATGGTAGCAGCAGGAGGCCCCATTAGCTAAAGTGGTATCTCAGGTTAAGAACAGTTTCAGGTTAAGAACGGATCTCCGGAACGAATTAAGTACTTAACCTGAGGTAGCACTGTAGTTCAGGAACAGCTTCCAATGGTCAATAAGTCCACTCTGTACATTAAATCATTGGATATGCAACAGCCCTAAGTCTATATTGAAATATCATTGCAGTATAATACACAATTACTACCATCAAGTCCTTGCCTTCATTTTGGCCATGAATGAGATCAACAATAACGACCACCTCTTGCCTAACACAACATTATCATCCATCATCACTCATACTGTTCTCAATGAAGCGGGATCCTGTTCTGGGACCATGGAACTCCTTTTCCAAAATCAGGGGAACCCCATTAACTACATCTGTGACAAGACATACAAACTAATGGCCATCATTGGAGGGCTCACCTCTCATAACTCTAAGCAGATGCCCCACATCTTAAATATCTATAAGATGCCGCAGGTGTGTACTGTATACATAGGTGCAACCAGTAGGAGTATTTAGTGGAACAAGCACATTTGTGTACCCATGACCTTCCTTGTCACAGGGACTAACTTGACCCTATGGGGAAATGCATGCAATAGAAGCTGGGCTCCAGAAGGCCTCACTATCAACCCACGTGAATGAACAGGAGGAAATGTACACTGTGACATCAGAAGCCATTTTGAGTGGTTTGGCCAGCACCATCTCATTAAAGGCCAGAACAACCCTGGATTTAATCAGTCCAGTTAATCTGCCCTCATTTTCTTCCTTCTCCATTCCCCCTCCAGTTTAACATTTTCTTCCTAAGTTATAATAATGAATAGTAAGTTGTAATAAGAAATATTCTGAATTTTTATATAAAAGAAGTCAGGTTCACAATGCTCTTCTCACATATGGGGCAAGACAGTTTGAGCATATAACACCAATTCTAGCCCAACTGCACTGGCTGCAAATTAGTCTCCAGGCCGAACTCAAAGTGCTGGTTTTGACCTATAAAGCCTTAAATGGCTCAGAACCGCAATACCTCAAGGACTGCCTCTCTGAACCGACACAAACCCTGAGCTCATCATCTGAGGGCCTTTGTAATGTGCCTCCCCCCAGGATACGTTTGACAGGTGGCAACACGAGAATGGGCCTTTTCTGTGGTGGCTCCCTTCTTGTGAAATGTTCTCCCCAAGGAGTCTTGCCTGATGCCTTCATTACATATCTTTAGGCACCAGGCGAAAACATTCCTCTTCTCCCAGGCATTTAGCTAATTAAACAACCTACGGCCTTTAAAATGGGGGTGGGTATTGTTTTTGTTTGTCGTCATGGTACATATTTTGGTGTTTTTATCTTGTAAACCACCCTGTCCTCTTTCGGATGGAGTGTAGTATAAGAAATTAATAAATAACAAGGAATAGAACTGGAAGCCTTTTGTTAACTTTTCTTTTTAAAATATGCCCGTGTAAAAAGTGTCGGCATGTATATATGCTCTCCCTCTCCTCCCCCGGCCCACCTAATTTATGTGTTTCTCATCTTTAATCAGCTCAGTAATTATGTCTAGTTCGTGGGATTGGAGAGTTTATAGTCCCTGCAATATTTGTATCAAATATAAAATGACCTCAACGTTCTTCCTGCCAGATCACCAAAGGAAAAATCTGAATTTTTGGTTAGGTCTAAGAAAAAAATGTGTTGCTCCTGTTTTTTAGCTCAGCTATAAATCGTTTGACCCTGCCTTGAGTGATAAAACACAGTTCCCTTCTGTCTATCGGATGATGCCAAATGAACGTCCTCAGTATGTTGGGATTGTTCAGCTGCTTCAGCATTTTGGATGGACTTGGATTGGCCTTATTATTTCAGATGACGACATTGGAGAAATACTGTTGAGGACTCTCATGCCTTGGCTGCACCAGAGCAATATCTGTGTGGCTTTTAGGGAAGTTATTCCAACGCCGAAGGAGACCTGGGATGAAGCACTGCTAAAAAATAAGAACTTGGCGAGAATAAGCAGAGTTCTCTTTTCGGCTGTGACCAATGTGATTCTCGTTCATGGGGAGTCACGGACTATGGAGAGCTTACGAATGGTTCTATTGCTGCATGAATTTCGTGAAAGGAAGCCAGAAGAGAGGGTTTGGATCATAACAGCTCAGTGGGATTTCACAACTGTGCTGGATAAGTTAGCATTCACACCAAAAACCTTCAATGGCACCTTGTCCTTCACACGCCACACAAATTATATGGCAAAATATGAAGAGTTCCTTGAGACTGTACATCCTAATCAATCTACACTTTATTACATCCATCATTTCTGGTCTGTCTCATTTATGTGTGCATTTCCCTCACTGGGCATTGTTGCAGAAGACATAAAAAACTGTACTGGAAAAGAGACATTGAAGAGCCTCTCTGGATTGGTTTTTGAAATGGGAATGTCTGGTCAGAGCTACAGTATTTACAATGCAGTTTACGCTGTTGCACATGCTCTCCACGCCATGTTTTCATCAAGATCTAGGCAGAAGGCAACACTCAATGGTGCCACAAGAAATAGCTCAAATGTTTACCCATGGCAGGTAGGAAATTCATGCCCACCTCTACTTAATATATGACCATGAATGCTGGATTCAGGTTTATTACTTAGCAGTTGACTGAATTTGATTCAGCAACAACACACATACATATACAAATACTGAGCTTGCCCTGATGAACCATGATGATTTAAGATGCTGTGTTTCTTCACAGAATTTTGAAATGTTCTCTGCTAGCTTTCCCCAACCTGGTATTCCCCAAATGTTGTTGGCTACACTTTCCTTTTTGCACCAGCCAAAATGACCAACGGTCAGGAATGATGTGACCTGAAGTCCAAGGCATCTGGAACTGACAAAGTTCAGGGAGGTTATAAAGGTTATGAACAAAGCATATTCAACATGGGCCTCATATCTTGTTATGGCAACCATGAAAATTGAGAAAATATTTTATTCCATTGACTCTATATCCCCCACACAATAGTAATAAGGAGCTAGTTGAGTATGATATTAGAGTGACAAAGTGATTTTCCACACTTCTTCTTGTCCCGCTGCTGTTCTGCTGCTTTCCCCGGGGGAAAACCCTTTCTTTGCCCTCAACTGGAACAAAACAAAAAGTGGGTTTTCCCTGGGAAGGAAGTGAGGCAAGAGGAGAATGGCTCAGATCTGTGCCTAGGAAGTGTAAGGTAAAGGTAAAGGACCCCAGGATGGTTAAGTCCAGTCAAAAGTGACTATGGGTCCACTGCTCTCATCTCGCTTTCAGGCCAAGGGAGCCGGCATTTGTCCACAGACAGCTTTCCAGGCCATGTGGTTAGCATGACTAAACTGCTTCTGGTGCAAAGGAATACCATTACAAAAACCAGAGTGCATGGAAACACCATTTACCTTCCCACCACAAGGGTACCTATTTATCTACTTGCACTGGCATGCTTTCAAACTGCTAGGTTGGCAGGAGCTGGGACAGAGCAATGGGAGCTTGCTCCGTCACGGGGATTCAAACCGCCGACCTTCTGATTGGCAAGCCCAAGAGGCTCCATGGTTTAGACCACAGCACCACCCACGTCCCTTGCCTAGGAAATGTAGGTCAAGTGGAAACACACAGACCCACACTTTCAAGGAATGGGACAAGTGGAAGTGTCTACAAGCCCCCAAACAAGAAAGTAAATTCCAGGTAAAACACAGTAACTGTTACTGCAATTGGCAGTAACATGTCCTTTTCTTCTTCAATCTACGTAGCTTCACTCCTTCCTGAAACACATCCGTTTCAACAACAGTGCTGGAGAAGATTTTTTTTTTGATGAAAATGGAGACTGGGCAACAGGATATGATATCGTCAATACTGTCACATTCCCCAACTTGTCCATACACAGAGTTCGCGTTGGAAGACTTGATCCAAAAGCTCCTGAAGGAAAGAAGTTCACCATCAATGGAAGTGCTGTTGTGTGGAATCACAAGTTTAACCAGGTGGGAAACACAGATATTCTCCAGAACAATAGATTCTGAACAAATCCTGCCTGCCCCTTGTTTCACACAGAATAGTGTAAAGTCCAACCTGTTCTGGTTCCATGCAGGTATTTCAGGAGGAATCTGCAGAAATCGAGGAGAGGGGATGAGGAGGTGTAAGGACTGGGTAATCTTTATACATTCATGTTGGGCCTTCAGTAGCCCTGTGGGCTGGCAGTTCAATACCAATTGTTTATACTTTAAATTCTTTCTTTCTGGATATTCTTAGATCACACCACAATCTACATGTGTTGAGAGTTGCCACCCTGGACAAAGCAAGATGGCACGGCAGGAGGAACAGATTTGTTGTTATGATTGTCCTCAGTGCTCTGAAGGCATGATTTCAGCCTTGACAGGTAAGTAGAGACTGCAGAGTTACATGGGGAATGCTAATCCAGGTGTCTGTAAAATAAATGTTCTCAAAGGCCCATGACTCTGATGTGTGAATGGGCCATTGCAGATAGTCCTTAGAAAGGGTGTTCCTTAGAAAGGGGATTCCTTTGTTTTATCACATTATCATCAAAAACAGGGGAAGGGATTCTGTTCTTCTTGTCCAAGAGAAATGTTACCGAGGCCATATTTCATGCCACACCATGAAACAGTTGATGCTGAAGAAGATCCATGCACATTTTCAATGATTAAGATTTATAACTTTCAGATGCAGACCACTGTAACAAGTGCCCTGAGGATCAACATCCAAATAGAAATCAGGATGGCTGTATCGCTAAAACTATAAGTTTTCTATCATATGGAGAGACCTTGGGAATAATTCTGGCTTCATTTGCACTTTCCCTTTTTCTGATCACACTTGTGGTGATGTGGATCTTCATTCAACACCAGGAGACTCCCATTGTCAAGGCCAACAACTGGAACATCACCTGCACCCTCCTCATTTCCCTCTTGCTTTGCTTTCTCTGCTCCTTCCTATTCATTGGGCAGCCTGGGAAGGTGGCCTGCCTTCTCCGTCAAACAGTGTTTGGGATTGTCTTCTCCCTGGCAGTTTCTTGTGTGTTGGCTAAAACCATCACTGTGGTTCTGGCCTTCATGGCCACCAAGCCAGGAAACAGGATGAGGAAATGGGTGGGGAAGAGGCTGGCAGTGTCAGTCATCATCCTTTGCACTCTTATTCAAACTGGCATCTGTGCACTGTGGTTGGCAACCTCTCCTCCTTTCCCAGAGTTTGACATGCATTCACAGACTACCCAAATCATTGTGCAGTGCAATGAAGGATCAGGCCCCATGTTTTATACTGTCCTGGGCTACATGGGTCTTCTGGCCATCATCAGCTTCACTGTGGCTTTTTTGGCCAGGAAGCTACCTGATACTTTCAATGAAGCCAAGCTCATCACCTTCAGCATGCTGGTCTTCTGCAGTGTTTGGCTGTCCTTTGTCCCCACCTACCTGAGCACCAAAGGAAAATATATGGTGGCTGTGGAGATCTTCTCTATCTTGACTTCTAGCTCTGGGTTGCTGGGTTGCATCTTCTTCCCCAAATTCTATATTATTATTCTGAGGCCTGAGCTGAACACCAGGGATCAGCTTGTGAGAAAAAGAACTGTGAAATCTGATAGGTTTCCTCCTTGCTTTTTGTAGCTTCTTTCCTACTCACTTTTCTGGTTGTTTTGTCTTTTTAAAACAACCTTAACCGAAATACATGCAATGCCTTCTTTGATGTTTGGAAAGTACTTCTGATGATGTAAAATTCCAGCCAGTTTGGCTTTTAATCAGTTTACTCATCTAGTAGTTTGTTTATAAGCCACTTTTTTGAAAATGTGCTTATTTATTTATAAAAGTATTTATATTTCCCTGTGTCATAAATAAATATCAAAGTTACTTACAACAATGCAATAAAACTACCGGAATGTTCAAATTTAAGATCTCAGATGATAAACTAATCATTATGGAAATATAATTTCTTAATTGCATGCAAGAGCCTGGTAGCATAAAAAGTTTTCAGCAGGCATATAAAGGATGAAACAGAAGGTGCCTGCTGAATCTGTATCACCAGAGCTTTCCACAAGTTTGGGATGATAACACTAAAGACTCTGTCACATGTATCCATAATAATAGTAAAGGTAAAGGGACCCCTGACCATTAGGTCCAGTTGTGGCCGACTCTGGGGTTGCGGCGCTCATCTCGCTTTATTGGCCGAGGGAGCCGGCGTATAGCTTCCGGGTCATGTGGCCAGCATGAATAAGCCGCTTCTGGTGAATCAGAGCAGCGCACGGAAATGCTGTTTACCTTCCCGCTGGAGCGGTACCTATTTATCTACTTGCACTTTGACGTGCTTTTGAACTGCTAGGTTGGCAGGAGCAGGGACCGAGCGACGGGAGCTCACCCCGTCGCGGGGATTCGAACCACTGACCGTCTGATCGGCAAGTCCTAGACTCTGTGGTTTAACCCACAGCACCACCCGCGTCCCATAATAATACTAATATACCCATAATAATACTAATGCCTAATATCAGCACATAATTAGCTATCAGCCAGCCAGACCCCAGTACAAAAAGCCCCCACTTATAACCCCAGTTTATATTAGCCATTACAAGCTGGAGAGGGGTGCTTTTGAAATTGTTAAGTTCTGCCTAATTGACACAAAAAATGGAGCCTTTTCAGTCTCAGAAGGAATTGAGTTCTATAGCTGCAAAGCCACAATTTAGAAGATCCTGTTATGAATGCCCACCAGCCTGATTGTTTCTACTGGCAGGCACCTATGCAGGATGTGTGATGTAAATCTTACAAGGCTAATAAGGGCTGCCTTCAGATGTAATCTAAAGTTTATATAGCTACTCATCTCCTTGACAGCTGGCGGGAGGGCATTCCACAGGGCAGGTGCCACTACCAAGAAGACCCTTCCTGGTTCCCTGTAGCTTCACTTCTTGCAGTGAGGGAACCGCCAGAAGGCTCTCAGTGCTGGGTCTCAAGTGACTGGGATGAATGATGGGGGTGGAGATGCTCCTTCAGGTATACAGAAGTTTTAGTCTTAAGCCATTTATTTTCTTGATTAAGCTGTATTGATAAGCACCTTCTTTTTCTTCATTGTCATCATTATTGCTATTACTACCCACGCTTCACTAACACGTCACTGGGCAGGTGACAACAAGTTAATGCAAATCAAGGCAAACACTAGCCTGCACTCTGCAGACCTACTTATGTATACACATGGAGCTAAACCCTCACCACCCTCTCATGCATTCTTTGAGTATGTGAAAGTGGGGCATCCAAACTTCCTACAGTAGAAGTAGGTTGGGATCCCACTGGTAGCTCTATTAATGGTTGGCTGTAGATCATGGATGTCCAACAGATCCCCACACGGTTTTGGTAGATCGCGGGTCGACCTCTGGCTCCCTTTCCTCAATGTCATTGAAACGGACTCCTGCCCCACCCCCACGGCCCGCCCTGCACTGTTGTGTGATCAGTGGAAGAAAACGTGGAGCTTTCTCTCTGTGGCTGTTTTCATTCAAAGCGATATTATTGTGAGAGACTTTCTCCCTTAGACCCTTGGCTTTAACCCCCCCCAAAAAAAAACAGAACTTCCCTCCTAATAAAGTATTTGCATGTCCTCCTCCCTAAAAAAAGCTCATTGACAGATTTTAATTCTGAAAGCATATCGCAGTCTCTCGGGAATTGGCCACCCCTGCTGTAGATCAACAGGTTTCTTGCCTCACAACTGTTTAAAAAGTTCACTCAGTAGAATGAACAAGAGACCCCCCAATCACTGCAGGGCTGGATTAAGACATTTTGAAGTGGAATTGTATCACTGGGAGAGACCTCAAAGGCCTAGTCCATCCCACTGCTCATTCAAATAATGCACATGGCAATCTTAAGAAGGGTGCCCCTGGTAGATCATTAAGGCCAAAGTATACAGTTGCTGAGCTACATAGCTGACTGGCTTGAGCAACTAGAAGACCTTCTGTCTGTTGCTTTTGCCTCACCCCCACCCTCAACTTCACAGGACCTGGATCTATCCTGCATATAGCCCACTACCCAGTTAAGGACCTTATCTACTTTAGAGTGGTGTAGTGATTTGAAGGAAGGAAGGAATAGACACTAGTTTCCTTCTGGGTTTTCTCTCCACCTTTCTTCCACACACACACACACACACACACACACACACACGGATACCCTGTCTGTCATGAGACATGGAGAGGGTAGTTGGGTGCTGAGGAGGTGAAGAGGTGAAGAATGGGTGAAGAGTTGGGTGATCCCATGGAAGCTCCTAGCAAGCTGGAACAGTTGAAATCAGGACACCAAGAGGAGTCTGATCCAGAAGAGGGATGCAGTGGGCTGGAAGATGGGAGATCTGGATTCTGTGGAAGGGCGTGGCCAGAGCTGGCCCAGGACATTTTGCCACTCCAGGCAAAATTGAAAATGGCCACACACACACACAGCCTCTTCTACACCCGCTGCCTGGAGGCCACACGGGGAGCAAAAGAAGGCTGGAGAGGAGCAGGCGGTAGGGGATGGGGGGTGTGTGCAGCGGTGGCAGTACCCCTCCCAGCTGACTGCCTTACTGAGCCTCATAGGCAGGTGGGGTAGGGGGCTGTTGGGCTGTTAGAAAAGCACCCTGCCCCCAAAACATTGGCTATCCCAAGTTTAAAGCCTTTAAAGCCAAGTTTAAATTCCCTGCTGGGAATAAGTTGGATGCCAAGCAGACTCTTGAGTCCACCCCCATCTCAAAGGATGCGGTGCTGTCAGCAGCAGCAAAAGCATGCCTGGCATAATCACTTGGATGAGGGCTCATTTGAAAGTCAAGTTCCAAGATTTGGGACAACTGCCACACCAATAGCACCTTCAAAAGTAGAGCACAGAGGGCATGTCGCTTGTGCTTAGCCATTATTTCTAACCTCTTATGCACCCACTGGTTTCTATGACTCGAAAACTGACCTACATAACATTCTGATCTAAACTTTTAAGCCTTTGGTAGAAACTAAGATGGAAGTTTGAGTTCTTCATCTAGCAGTGAGAGCCAGGACACCGTCAAAAACACACACACACGGGATACTCCCCGCCTCACACACACACTCTTCCTCACACATGTAGGAACATCCTTCGGACACATACATAGCTTCCCCAAATACAGACAAAAGAGTAACAAAACAAAACAAAACAAAACAAAACAAAACAAAACAAAACAAAACAAAACAAAACACTGAGTGTATATTTCCATCCACATCCACAAAACATACATCTAGCAGTGAGAACCAGGACACCATCAAACACACACACACACACACACACACACACACACACACACACACCTACACCTCACATGGGATACTCCCCCCCTCTCTCTCTCTCACACACACACATCTTCCTCACACATGTAGGAACATCCTTCGCACACATACATTCCCCGAAGACAGACAAAAGGGTAGCAAAACAAAACAAAACAAAACAACTCAGTGTATATTTCCATCCACATACACAAAACCCAACAGCCTCTTTTAAAATGTCCCATTTACCCCTTAGCCAATATCCTACTAGTTCCAGAGTTCCTTGCAGGTAGACCCTACATACTGTACATTTAGTCTTTCACGACGATTGAAAGAAGAGATGCCATTGCTTGTGTTAAGTCTCCTGGCTGCATTAATTATCACTGCCGCTAGGATATTGTGCTGATGGTTGTGGGTTTCCAATAGTTCATGGAGCAAAGCTAAAAATGATGTATTTGTCGCTAAAGCTCCATTGCTTCACATATCTTGCATTTTCATCCATGTGGGCTGCTGGTTATTTCCCTTCACTTAGTACATATGTGTATATATATAGCACCACCCGAGGTGACGGCCCTCATGGCTGATAAGAGGAGGTTCTGGAAAGAGAGGAGTCTATGAGTTGCCGTTGTGATGGGCTTTCATGGAGAACATAGAAGAGCCACTCTTTCATGCCCAAATGGCAATGATGGCCATGATGGAGAAGCCCAGTCCAATGAAGAAGAACTTGGTCAGGGGGCTTTCGTGCGAGCGCAGCTCGTAGGGGAGGATCTCCAGGAAGGTGACGTAGAGAAAGGTCCCTGCAGCCACCCCTTCCAACAAAGCCTGAGCCAGGCTGGTCCCGTCACTGTTGTAAAGGGAGACACCGATGCCCACGCCGATGCCAGCGGGAGACATCAGAGCAAACACCACCAAGTACAGCAACCTCCACCGGGCCGGCGTGCCGCTCTGCACCAACTTCAAAGCCAGGCTGAAGACCACAATGGCCTTGTGGATCAGCACCGCCAGGCAAAGCTGAATGGCGGCCGTCTCCTGCTTTTGGACGCCGATGGCCAGGCCCTCAAAGACCGAGTGGAAGGAGAGCGACAGGAAGAGCACGAACGCCCGGAAAGAGCTGTGGGATTCCGGCGGGTCCTTGTGATCCTCTTCGGTGTTGTGGTCGCCGTGGGAGTGCACGGCCCTGGGGCAACAATGGAGCACCACGCTCTCAATGAGGAACACCAGGAAGAAGCCAGCTGAGATGACGAGCTCCCCAAATGGGTACATCTGCCATGGGAGGAGAGACAGAGTTGGACATGAGTTAAGGCCCCATCTGCAGTGTCCATTTCAAGCGGAATCATGCCCCTTTAAATAATCATGGCTTCCCTCAAATAATCCTAGGAAGTGTAGCTTATTATGGGTGCTGAGAGTTGTTAGGAGACCCCTATTCCCCGCTGCCACAGAGCCATAGCTGTCAACGTTTCCCCTTTTTAAAGGGAAATGCCCTTATTCCGAATAGTATTCCTTGCAAGAAAAGGGAAAAGTTGACAGCTATGCACAGAGCTACAGTAAACGGCTCAGTGCTGCAATACCTCAAGGACCGCCTCTTTCCATATGAACGTACTTGGACCCTGAGATCATCTTCTGAGGCCTTTCTTCGTGTGCCTCCTCCTCGAGAAGTCCAGAGGGTGGCAACATGAGAAAGGGCCTTTTCTGAAGTGGCTCCCCGTCTGTGGAATGCTCTCCCCAGGGAAGCTTGCCTGACGCCTTCATTATACACCTTTAGGCGCCAGGCAAAAACATTCCTTTTAAACCAGCCCTTTGGTTGATCTGATTTACATCCTAAGCCCTTTAAAAATGTGTTTGTGTTTTTGTGGCTGCGAGGGGGAGGGAAGGGCTATTGGGTTGTTCTTTTTATTTTCATTATGTATTTTGTGGTTTTATATCTTGATTTTATTCTGTGAACTGCTGCGAGACCCCTGGGTATAGGGCGGTATAGAAATAAAATAAAATAAAATAAAAAATAAAAATACTATGTGAATACTTTTTTTTGCCTATTCTGAATCTTCCAACATTCAGCTTCACTGGATGGACCAGATGAGGGTGTAAAAACCTCTCCCCGTCTTCATTATACACCTTTAGGCACTAGGCAAATACATTCCTTTTTAACCAGGCCATTGGTTGATCTGATTGACCTCCTATACCGTTTTAAAATGTTTTTTGGGGGGGCGCTATTTATGGTGCAGTTTCTGCACATGTGTGATTTATAAAACCAGGTGTTGTTTATTGCTCTTCTATTCATTTACCTAGCAGTTCGAAAGCACCCCCGGGTGCAAGTAGATAAATAGGGACCGCTTACTGGCGGGAAGGTAAACGGCGTTCCGTGTGCTGCGCTGGCTCGCCAGATGCAGCTTTGTCACGCTGGCCACGTGACCCGGAAGTGTCTCTGGACAGCGCTGGCTCCCGGCCTCTATAGTGAGATGAGTGCACAACCCTAGAGTCTGTCAAGACTGGCCCGTACGGGCAGGGGTACCTTTACCTTTACCTTTTATTCATTTACCCAGGGACTTTATCTAAAGCTAAGAAGTACTCAGGTCTTCAAAGAGCTTTCCATGGTTCCTGGGGCTTTTAAAAGTTAAAGTTGCACCACCAGGTGGCAATCAAGGGTCACCGTAGGATTTCTCAACTGGAAAGAGGTTGTCTTGGCAGGCTTCTTAGTCTTCGATTGCAACAGAACCTCCCTGAAGGATTGCAACAGCACCTCCCTCACAATACTTGAGTTTGGAAAGAGAGGTGTGAAAAATAGAAGCCGGGTGGTGCAGGCTGCACCTTGGAGACCAGGGTTCAAATCCACACCTGGGCAAAAAGTCTAGAGATAGTCTTTCAGCCTAATCAACCTCACAGAGTTCTTGCAATGATAAAATGGAGAGCGGGGGGGGGGGGAGGGAATAAAAACGTACACCACTCTAAGCTCTTTGGAAGAAAAATGGGATATAAATGCAAATAAATAACCAAGTAAAATACAATACAATACAATGTGTTTCAGCTCACCGTTTGGTAATGTATCGGAACTGGCTGTGTTCCCACAATCAGGTACACGACGGCACCCCCCTTTTAAATTTGTTTTTCATATTTGTATCCATTCCTTCCCTCAAAGAGTTCAAGGTGGCATACTCTCCTCCCTTTCCATATTACCCTAATAATATGTTGCATACCACCTTGTGATCTTTGGATGAATGAAGGGCAATATACAAATGACAGATGATAGATAGATAGATAGATAGATGATAGATGATAGATGATAGATGATAGATGATAGATAGATAGAGCAACAACCCTGTGAGCCAGACTGAACTGAGAGCTAATGACTTGCCCAGTAAGCTGGCAGGTCAAAAAAGAAAAAGAAAGGGTAAAAAGGTAAAGGACCCCTGGACGGTTAAGTCCAGGCAAAGGTGACTATGGGGTGTGGCGCTCATCTTACTTTCAGGCCAAGGGAACAGTTTCAGGTTAAGAACGTTAAGAACAAGGACTCGATGGCCCTTGTGGTCTCTTCCAACTCTATGATTCTATGAACAGTTTCAGGTTAATAACAGACCTCCAGAATGAATTAAGTTCGTAACTAGAGGTACCACTGTAACTGCAAGATGGGAACTATTTTATTCCATTGACTCTATATCCCCCTCCCCCATTAATAAGAAGGAGCTAGTTGAGTATGACATTGGAGTGACAAAGTGATTTTCCACACTTCTTCTTGTCCCGCTGCTGCTCTGCTGCTTTCCTTTGCATTCAGCTGGAGCAAAACAAATAGTGGGTTTTCCCTAGGAAAGAAGTGAGGCAAGAGGAGAATGGCTCAGATCTGTGCCTAGGAAGTGTAAAGTAAAGGTAAAGGACCCCAGGATGGTTAGGTTTGGTCACAAGCAACTATGGGCCTATGGCACTCATCTTGCTTTCAGGCTGAGGGAGTTGGTGTTTGTCCACAGACAGCTTTCCAGGCCACGTGGCTAGCATGACTAAACTGCTTCTGGTGCAAAGAAATACCATGACAAAACCCAGAGCGCATGGAAATGCCATTTACCTTCCCGCCGGAGCGGTACCTATTTATCTACTTGCACTGGCTTGCTTTCGAACTGCTAGGTTGGCAGGAGCTGGGACAGAGCAACAGGAGCTCACCCCATTGCATGGATTTGAACTGGCGACCTTCTGATCAGCAAGTCCAAGAGGCCCCATGGTTTAGACCACAGCGCCACCTGCATCCCCATTCTATTTTCTTCATAGATGGATAGACAGATATGCCTTTGTATCTTGCTCTCCAGATTTAATAATAATAATAATAATAATAATAATAATAATAATAATAATAATAATAATAATTTATTTATACCCTGCCCATCTGGCTGAGTTTCTCCAGCCACTCTGGGCGGCTTCCAATCAAGTGTTGAAAGCAATACAGCATTAAATATTAAAAACTTTCCTAAACAAGGCTGCCTTCAGGTGTCTCCTCACAGAAACTCCTCACAGCAGGAAGAAACTCCTCACCGCAGGAGGCAAATAATGCAAACACAACTACAACCATAACAAAATTTTACAAGAGAGTGTACCAGTCAAGGTAGATGTTTTAAAAGGTTTGTTATGGTTCTGTTCACAGATCCTTAAATAAGTAACCAAAACCAAGACCTGAGCCAAGCAAGATTAGAACAGTCATTAAAAGATTGTGAAATATGCAGAGGCCAAGCCTGAGATCTTAATCAACCATCTCACCCCCATACACTCTTGCAAAATTTGAGAGCCTTTTGCAGCTGACTAGAAAACAAAATCCTTGACTGTGTGGATCCTGCACCCAAATTCACAGCCCCATTCCCTGGAGGAGAGTCAGAAGATGGATAAAAAGCTTTTTCAACTCCCCTGCCAATACCCAAGGTACCAAAATAAATAATCCATAATTGATCACAATGGCAGCTCGTGCCTATCCAAAGCAAACCTGATCAGCAATCTCAAAGGTGGGGGAACAACAGTGTTCAAACAAGGGGAAACATACCTCTGAATCATCATCACCTTCAGAGGTGCCGTTCTGCTTATGCATAGAAGCTCCCTGGGGGAAAAGAAACAAACAAACAGCTGAGTTGGAAACATTCTAAGGACAAGAATGGTTCACAGTCATTGGCTATCATGGTGGTGGAATCAAGTTTCCTCCCTATTCAAGCAGTGGGAGCTCAGATATTGAAGATCTGTCAAATTTTGGAACCATGAACTTCTTTTGCATGCCACAAACTTTATCTATCATCTATCTATCTATCTATCTATCTATCTATCTATCTATCTATCTATCTATCTATCTATCATCTATCTATCTATCTATCTATCTATCATCTATCTATCTATCATTCATTCATTCTAAGGCCTCTTGTTGCTGCTTTCCCAATCCCAGTGCAATAGTACCCCTAATTATTAGAACAATTTCTAATTAGAACAATTTCTAAGGGGTGGCTGTGTTAATCTCTTGTAGCAAAATGAGTGAGTCTTAAATTTATTATGGCATAAGCTTGTGGTTCCCAAACTTCCCCCTCCTTGGACCACTTGAAAATTGCTGGTGGTTTTGATGGACTACTTAATGATTTTTCTGCCTGTTGTAGTAGTTATGCTGTGCTGTGATTTCTGATTGCATTTATACATATACACCACGGAGCACCTGAATGAAGCTCGTGGACCATGGGTGGTCCTTGGATCACAGTTTAGGAACCCCTGGCATAAGCGTTCATGGACAGTAGTTCACTTCATAGTGTGCAGGCACTTTTAGAAGAAGGGACTCTATTCTTGACCTTATGATAAAAGGAGGTACATCTAGGAAGATGTGATCTTTTCGGTCTTAAGCCAGCTTTATAGGTTAGAAAAAAACCCAGTATTTTGAATTGGACAAGTCAGATGAAGCAGTGAAAGCAAGCAAGCAAGCAAACAAACAAACAAACAAACCAAAAAACCCCCACACAACCCAAACAAAACTTGTGCAATATGTTTATAATGGCCAGTTCCATTCAGGTTTTTGGTACCATGTTCTGTGTCGACATTTCCATGCCATCTTCAAAGGCTGCACCATATACAGTGGGTTACATTGGTCCAAACAGTTATTTACTAAAACATGGAACACTGAAGTCCAGTTGTACAATTCAGCCAAGGTCAGAGCCGGGACACTGGTTTAAGCTTGTCCAGTACTGTCTCCCCCAACAACGAATAGGGACTCAAGGTTGAAGAACACCGGTCTGCTCTGACTGGCAGTGACCCTCCAGGGTCTCAGACAGTGCTATCTCCCATGATCTTGTTTTAACTGAAGATGCTATGGACTGAAGCTCAGACTTTCTGCATATAAAGCAGATGTTGTTCCACCAAGCTGTGGCCCATCCAAATTCATTGCAGTGGAATTCAGATTTAAGAGACTGCTGCGATGGCACTCACCTGCTGCCGTCTCTTTTTGAGTTCCTCCTGGATGTCTCCCAGTGCGTCGGCCACCATGTGCATAATGCAGGCCCCAAGGAACACTCCGGCAGCAAAACAGCCTATGAAACTGAGAATGCGCCGATGCTTCCCTAGAAGAGATGCAGGGAGGAATAGGAAGGATTATGTCAGATGTAGAGTTTGTCAAACAGAGACGAGGCTGCCAATCCATGTCTCTAATATATATATCTTAATGTAAGCCACCTTGCATAGAGGCAGGATACTAATCAATACTAATACTACTAATAAAGGAGAGTAACACCTGCATGCTCAGAATTCAGTGCATGCTCAAGAGTTCAAGGCCCACCAGCATCAAAAAAATAATCTGGAGGTGTAAAGCACCCTTTCAGTTCCAGCACCATGGATAGAGCTTTTTTGCCCAATGAAATGTAGTGTTTTTTAACAGAGCCAATTTGCTTGTTCAGCTTGCTTAAGCCCTGTTTACTTATTCTGGGTGTGGAAGTAGAAGGAACGCTAATCTGTAAAAGGAACATGTGAGCATTGATTCACCAGAAAGATCAAGAGTGGTAAAGAGGGACCCACCTCAATATATGGCCACCTAGAGAGTTAACAACAAAGCTGAGATCTCAAGACTTCCTGGTGTTGCACAGCACAGTATTTGCACTCCTGCACAAGTTCTAATAGTCAATTGCATCAAGCCCCTCTGAAGATCAGGCCATACCCACTCCAATCCCTTCCACCAACTGCTCACCTCTGGCCATGTTGCTCTGGAACCATCTAACCTGCGCCGGGATGAGGCCACAAATGAGTGTGACCACCAGCAGACCTGCCAGGCAGCCGATCTTGACCTCCAACAATTGATCCATCTCTGCAGCGTAGGGTAGGGAAAATCACACCGGGAGGAGAGGCAAAGGCTTATCCGTCGTTTCTCTGGACACTTTTCGGGCCAGTCTGATTCCAAAACGTCTTATGAGCGTTAGTAACTAGACCCAAACAGAGATGTCCACCTCTCTTCACACTCTTCTGGTGCAGTAAAGCTCTCCCCTTTGGAAGTATGAGTGGGGGAAAGAGTAGGAAGAGAGCCTCACACTATGGAGTCTTCATGAACTGAGCATCCATATATAGCAAGATCAAAAGCAACTAGATGTTCCAGCAGCAGTCAGGTGTATGGTGCTGTCTTCAGCCTCTGCCTTCTACATATATTTCATGGAGCCTTCTACTCCCCACCTTGTTCCCTTGTTCCTTACCCTCTGCTATTTCCCTCATTGATCCAGCTTTCTGGTCTCTTGTCCTGCAGATGTTCTCTCTTGCATTCCACCTTCCTTCCTTCTCTTTTCTACCTCCCTCATCAGATTCCTGCTTCCATCCAACCTCAGTCTAATCCTAGCCGCCTTCTAGGGAGTGAGTAATCACCCCGATACTCCAGAAAGCCGCCCGCCCACTTTGGTGTTGTCCCATCCCATCCCCTCCCCTTCATTATGCAAACGCGTAATTTCATTTACAATAAACAGTCTACAAGCGATCATTTCGTCATTAATTTTAAGGTCACTGGGCCATAGCAGCCACAGTCGAGGGCTCCACCTCGAATTCTCGATAAGAAATGCTCATTAAAAAACGGGAGTCTATTGATCTAGCTGAAGATTGTTTTCCAGCTGGCAGGTCAAGGCTAACAAGTGCGTGGGTCTCAATAGCTGCACCTTTCACGTTTTGCTTCAGATGTGGATAAGGGGGAAGAGAGGGGAAAACAAGCACAAAACATTGCAAAAAACCTCAAGGCACAATCTTATGAGCCTTGGCAGGGTAGCCCAGGGGCCACAGGATACAGCAGATCTCCCTCTCTGCTAAGCAAGACGCTTGACCATCTGCCTCTGCCAATGAACTCATGTAGGTTGTTCATTTTTATTTTATTTATTATTTTATTTTGACAAAGTCATAATAATAAATAAATAAGAATAAAAATGTGCACCTCACCACTGAAACCACCCCATTGTTAACTATCCACCCTCCCAAAATTTCAACATCTCTTGCGATGGTTTGGCCCCTTTCTGTTTTAACAGTACAAATTCTACAAACACCCTCCATATCTCCTCAAAATCATTTCTCCTGTGTATTCCCTATCTTACCTTAATGGCACATGTTAATTTATCATTAATAGCTATATCCCACACCCCTTTAAACCATTCTTCCATTTTGTATTCTGCTTGCCCCTTCCACTTCTTGGCTATAATAATTCATACAGCTGTCAATAAATTTGTGAGCAAGTCCTTCATAGCCTGCGAACCTTCTACCCCACCGTAAACTGATAATAATGCTACCTCTGGACTTTCGGTCAGCTTTACTCATGTAGATTGTGCTGGTCAGATGCTCTTGGGCCCTTCTGAATACCGATCAGTGGGGGGGGGTGAGTTCTGGGCCCTTGGTTTTATGATTCTCCGCCGCTGCTGGGCAGCTGTCTCCTATGGTGTTGAGCACCTGCACTGGGGGCAGGGGGTAGAAACAAACAGGGGCCCACCTCTGCCCACTCAAGGAGACCCACCCTCAGAGGCCCCCTTATTCTGGCTCCAAGACCATCCCTTCTCCTCCCCCACTGCTCTGAGGAGAGGAAGAAAGGGGCACACCTCGCCATAGACTGAGGGAGGCTTACAAAACTCCCTCCCTGAGAAGAAACCAGAGACTAACCACACCTGTCCTGGAGCTGATCTAGGAAATGTTCCTCCCCTAAGAACCCACAGGACAGAAATGGACGATGTATCCCTCTTCTGCAAGAATGGTGTAAGATTGGCAGGGCTGTGAATTTGGTATCTGGCCCATCTTGGATTTCCCCCTCCTTCTACCTTGGCTTTTGGTGGCTGTGTAAATGTGGAACAGCAGAGCAGCAAGATTTCATGCAGGTTGGGGCTGCTGGGAGCTGGGAGTCAAGCAATAGTTGGGCTACAGAACCTCCACCTTTGTACTAAATCAGTAAGATCTATTCTGTTGAGGTTATGCAATAATCAACCAAATGAGGCAACTTTAGTTAAGGAGCCTGAGCTATTCAAGATACTGACACAGTTCAAGATAAAAGACCCTTCATGCTAATTCTGACTGGAGCAAACTAGGCTATCCCACCTGCCTTTATTTTGCCTGCCAGCTCCAAGACTGGTTTGGCAGGCTGGCTGGAGCCGCACCCAAGAGCCTTCGCTTTTCAAACTTGGTTTCATTGAGAGCAAACCAACAAGTTTGGATTGCTACATTAGCTACCTCATTACTCCACCACAGCTAAGAAAAACGCAGGGCTTTTCCTCCACTGACTGAAGCCAAGGAAACAAATCTGCAAAAGGACTCTCAAGTGGAGACCAGAGGCTCACGTTTTTTGCACCCAAGTCCTTTGGCTCACAACAGCACCAGCAGGTGAGATTAAGGCTGGATTGAAACAGGCTTGAGAGTAGGAGAGAGAAATGGAGTTCTCCCAGCACTGCTCTATTTTTCTTTGGGCAGGAACTGTGAATGTCAGAATGGACTGCAGGCATGTGCACTGACCTAGCACTAAAGAAAACATAGCCACGAGCCATTTGCTTGAAGCAAATATTGCCCCTCCAAAAGCCTTATAGCAGAAAAGCAATTGTATCTGGAATGAATATTTATTTATATTATTGTTTTTTGAAATACACAATCATTGGTTTCAAAACTTGAAATAGGGGGGCACCCTTTGCCTATTTTAACATTGCACATGAGAGAGAGAGAGAGAGAGAGAGAGAGAGAGAGAGAGAGAGAGAGACTGGGCTTCCTGATGTTATTGGGCTACCAACTCCCATCAGCTCCAGCTACCACAGCAAAAGGTCAGAGATGATGGGAGTTGTTATGCAACATGTGGAGGACTGGAGGTTTCCTCCCCCTTGTATTAAGTCACCATTCTGTCCTCCCTGCCCCCGGGATTTTCAGTTTTTCAAAAGTTCTTCCTATTCCGCAAACTGCACAACAACAAGGAGTAGCATAACAATGCATGGGTTTTTTTGGAAACGATTTTCCCTGCTATTGCACAACTTTGCAATAGATGGAAAAGACATTCTAAAAACAAGGAAGTGAACTGAAGTGGTGATGAAAGAAAAAACATGTAAGGGTTTCTTTGTGATGGAAATTGCTACTTCTGGGCGTCATTCTAAATTCCACAAAACCACATTTCAAATAATATAGACTCAGTAAACCTGTTTGGTAAAGTTGGAAGGTCAACATCCAGGGAAGAAATTATACCCTCCCAGCATCACTGGCCCCTGGTATGCTAGGATGGAGGGAGGCCTCTCCTTTCCCCAACTACTCTGGGCGGCTCCCAACAGAGTATTACTACTACTAATAATAGTAATATTATTAATAATAAAGCGATATAACATTAAAACTTCCCTAAACAGGGCTGCCTTCAGATGTCTTCTAAAAGTCAGATAGTTGTTTATTTCCTTGACATCTGATGGGAGGGCGTTCCACAGGGCGGGCGCCACTACCGAGAAGGCCCTCTGCCTAGTTCCCTGCAACCTCACTTCTTGCAGGGAGGGAACCTCAGAGCTGAACCTCAGTGTCTGGGCTGAACGATGGAGGTGGAGATGCTTATTCAGGTATACTGGGCCAAGGCTGTTTAGGGCTTTAAAGGTCATCACTACCACAACACTTTGAATTGTGCTCAGAGATGTACTGGGAGCCAATGCAGGTCTTTCAGGACAGATGTAATATGGTCTTGACAGCTGCTCCCAGTCACCAGTCTAGCTGCCACATTCTGGATTACTTGTAGTTTCTGGGCCACCTTCAAAGGTAGCTCAACGTAGAGTGCATTGCAGTAGTCCATGGGTAGGCAAACTAAGGCCTGGGGGCCGGATCCGGCCCAATCACCTTCTAAATCTGGCCCGTGGGCGGTCCGGGAATCAGCGTGTTTTTACATGAGTAGAATGTGTCCTTTTATTTAAAATGCATCTCTGGGTTATTTGTGGGGCACAGAAATTCGTTCATATGTGTTTTTTTTCCTTCAAAATATAGTCTGGCCCCCCACAAGGTCTGAGGGACAGTGGACCAGCCCCCTGATGAAAAAGTTTGCTGACCCCTGCAGTAGTCCAAGCGGGAAATAACTATAGTCAAATACTGAGCTAGATTGATTTTTTCCCCTCCCCTTGGCTTAGTATGAGGAATCTACCTGTGATCCAAAGTGGGAGGTGGAATTTTCCCCATGCTCAAATCATGAGCTGAACCAGGGAAGTCTGGATGGGAGGGGGTTCTGGAACTCTGTTCACATTATAGAATTTGCAAGCAGAGGTATTCTGAGTTGTCCCTCCTTTTGTAACACATCTGTGGTCTACATGATGCAGAATACAGGATGCAAACGTCTCAGTGATGCGAGTAGGTTTGAGACTAGTTGGTGCCCAGAGAACAGACCAGCAAGAAATCCTTTGTGTGGCAACTCCATATAACAAAGATGGGATATAAAATGTAATGATTTTGGGTTGACTTCAGTGGTTGGCATGGGCTCTGCAGGGTTTTTGAAATGGTGCATTCCCAGCTCTAAATGCAGGTGCAGACTGCTAGAGCTACATTCGCTCACTCTGACCTAGAGCCAGTCACAAGATCCAGAGGCCTCCCTTCATCCTGACACACCAGGGACCAGTGATACTGGGAGGGTGTCATTTTCCCACAATGCAATTCCAGGCTGCCTTAGCAGCTGGGATCCTAACACCTGGCAAGGCCCAGTACAGGTATTACAAACTGTTCTGCACTCTTCCCAACGACCAGCTGAATGAAGCTCTCTGGTCCATGCACCTTTTTCTCAGATCACTCACTCCGCAATGAGAATGAAGCCTGCTCTTATTTTAATGGGCCTTAAAATATGAGCCTGGCCTTGTAGCCAAGCTCTTCTGATAGAATTCAGAAGCAGGATCATAGACTTCCCCCTGGTGGCGCATGAAAGCATAGCTGCCTCTTCCATCTGCTTGGCTCAGAAGATTGGAACTCTGCAGTATGCCCTAGTGATGAGAGTTAGCGGGTTTTATAAAGGATGCCCAGGAATGCAACCTGAGTCAGTGGGGCACTTGCACATTCCAGAGTCTCGGGATCCTTCCTAAAGAAACTCCGGCACATGGGCTGTGAATCTCGAGCAAAGAACCAAGATCATCTGCTTCACCCAAGGCAGGAAGTGCTGAAAAGCTGGACTTGGCAAGCAGGAGTGAAATGTTACTTTAATACTCTGTTATAGCTCATTTTCCCCATCATGAAACCCAAAGCAGTCGTCAGCCACCCAGGCACTGACCAGACCTCCTTAGCTTCAGCAGGGCAGTAGTAATCTAAGAAGCCCTGTATGGTTTGGAACCAGCTACCTGAAGGACCATCCACATTCATCTGTACCTGCCTGAACCTTAACCCTGGTGCTCTTCTCTGGTCTACTGCTGAGACCTTTAATGACAGTAAGTACCA